ACAGTTGCTAAGATAAATTAAAACACGGCTGTGGAGGAGGTGTCTCAGCATCTGTGGAGACAGTGGTATACACAGACATGGAAAAAGAGAGCTGGATCTGCTTCGTGGAGGGATTACAAACCTGGGAGAGTGGCTCCAGCCAATTTCAAGCCTGATAAGAGAAAGCCATGAAGCTGCAAGGAACTGTGTGGCTCAGGGGAATGGAAGCTGCAAGGTGATTCCACAGGCCTCTCCTTGCTTCTAGATAAGAGTAACACTTTGCTTTTTTTTTTTCAATATAGCTACCAAACTACATTTAGAAAGAGAAGATTATGGTGACAATGACCCCTCTGGGCTGCAAAGCTTACTTAGGAGAATTCAAGCAGTGATTGAAGAGGACTTCCACCAGGAAAGATGTTTAGGAGCCATGTTTTAAGGGAAAGGGAATCACTCGGTCTCATGATTGACAATATTGTATCAAGTCTCTCAATACTGGCGTGATAGCTAAGGATTACAAATGATAGACATCTAACAGCTGGATGTGTCCTTCACCTAGGCTTGGGATGAGTCAATAAGAAGTCACAACTGATCAGCTCTTGCCTAGATTTGACACACAGTTTGAAGTCTTTCTGAAAATCATTGTCCAAATCACACAAAAAGTTTCTGCCGCCTCATTTAGCACTGTTGGGCAGTCCCTATATCTCCTGATGCATTTTCACATGGTGCTTGTGGTCTTGGGTGCTATTAAGAGTACAAACAAGCAGTAACTTCCCTTGGTCTTCATCAGTTACAGCCTGTGCTTGCATGGAGCAAACCAAGGCAAATATGGAGCAAATTAAACCTCTGAGCAAGAATTCCTGTCTGCAAGACAGAGATAACTCAAAGGGTGCTTGGCTGAAGGGTTCAGCAATCTCTCCACATTTGCCCCATGCTGAGTGACAGCACTGCTTGATTGATGTGATTGGAGAGCTTTAATCCAAATTGTTGTATTAGCTGCCCCATCCTGGAATACAGATGAAGCTCCATGGAGTTCTACTCCACCAGAGGTGTCACCTTGGAGAGGGAGAGGACATTGCTTCCCTGCAGATGGTGGCCTAGGGCTGGCTAGACAAGGAGAGCAGTCCACCAGCTTCTACCCACTTAGAAACACAAATCCCTTTAGCAAGGAGAGAAAATGAACACGAGCTCACAGAGTATGTCCTGCATGACCAGTCGCCTTGTTTGCCCATCGCTCCCAGGAAAGGGCACTGCAGTTGTGGTGGGGTGGTAGAAGTGGTAGTTTAGAAGCTCTCCAGACGGACTGGCATTAAGGAAAGGGCTCGTCGTTCCTTCTGAAGGAAATACAGAGGAATTAAAGCCTCTTCAAGATTAGTAGTTACCAAGTGGATCTGCCCTGGGACATGATTTGATTTCTACAAATAACGTAAGGTTGAAAAACAGTGGCTCATCGGGGAAGCTGTATGAGCAGTGCGGCTCTCCCTGCATAGCAGGCACACTCTCTCAGCAACGAAGATTAACCGTGGGGCCAGGTGACTTGTGACAGACTTGTCAGCACAGTAGATTTCCCAGGTAAGATAGAAACGTGTGTCTGCAATTAATCCTCCTTATTACAGCTGAAGCCCCAGTCACTTTGGGGAACAGGAATACTTTGTAGACCCCATTCCTAGGGACGTGAGGGGTTACTGTAGTTCAGGTTAATGGTTCAATGTGCTGGCAACTGATTCATGGTGTTCCCTTGTATCAAAAAGGCTCCGGGTTTAACTCCAGATGACAAAAAATGGAACAGAACGCAGCTCAGTGAAGGGAGACAGACATCACTGCCAAATTGCCAGCCTAGTGGAGTACACTAGAAGTCATCATTGCTGGATAGTAATTTCGGATAGCTTTTGTGGAATGAGCTTTGGGGGCCTAAGTACAATCCGAAGGGAATAATCACCCCATTTCTGCAATTAAAATCCATTCTGAGTGCTGGCTGCGCAACCTGCTTTGTGAGCCAGCTCCTCCAGAGTCAGGCAGAGGCAGCGAGGAGGAACTGCTGGTCCTCATTGACTTGCTCTGGGAGCAGAAAGCATCAGCTCCAGGTGCCTTCAGCAGTGCTGTATTCGTCCCCAGAAAGCTGGTGGTTTCCTCGATGGAGACACTGTTTCCTTCTCTCACTTCACCTGTCACTTCCAGGGTCTCACAAGAGTAATTCAAATCAGGGGGAAATATTCCCCCAAAACACGCTAGCTTTATTCCTGGACCTGCCGTTGCAACTTTAGCCGAAGGAGAACTGAGAGAGGACGGGATCCCTAGGTCTCACTCTCTACTATGTCTGAGATGAATTTCGGCTATCTGTTCAGTTATGTGCATGCAAATAAGGGGCTCGCAAACCAACACACTCTCCCCAAGGCAAACCCAACAGTGAACTGAAGAAACTTTGTGTATTCCTGGAGGCTTGATCTGGCTTTTATTACCTAGTTGCTGTATAATATTTGTCAGTGCTGAGGCCCAGCTTACTGGCTTCTTGGACTAAAATATGCCTTGTCCAACCCTATTCCTGATGAAGTCAAAGGACATTTTTGACATTGGATTAGAGAGAATCAGAACCAGACCCTGAAATGTAACATGGAAATGCCATCTCCAGTTGCTACTGAAGCCAACAGAAACACTCTTGTTGTCTTCACTGCAGTTTGGGTCATGTCCAGAGTAAGTAAATTCAGCTTTATTGTTCAGATCCTCACTGCAAGAGCCTTCTGCAGCACTGGATAACCTCCCAAAGCACTCAGATTGTTCTTTGGAAGTCTCTGCCCCGTTCCCAGGGGAAGTCTTTGCAGGTGACCACTGCTAGGTTGCTCCAAAGGTCCCACTCTGGCAGCAAGGGAGGCTTGGCAGCTGGAGCTGCAGCACAGTGTACCAAGAGCGAGGAAGGAGGGATTCCTTATCAGCCCTTGCATCTGAACATGCTTTCGCTAATGCTGCTGGCGACTCAAGTGAATCCTGGCAACATCTGCTTGGAAGCACAGAGCCACGGATGTGGTTAGATGCATCACAGCAACTTGTGGGAGTTATTAGTTTGTTTGTTTGTCTGAAATATGTATTAAAAAAAATAACAGCCTTCCACTAAGCATCGAGCCTTGTATAAGAAAGGGAGGACAAGCACTGCAGAACGTGCAGCAGGGTCAGTCGCTCGCTCTGGTGCACAGCTCTGCCTCTCTGCTCCCCCAGGATTTGTACGACCTCAAATAAGAGGTGACTGTCCACACGATGGTCAGGGGTCCTTGCTCAGGAAGCGGCAATTACACATGTCAGAAAACACTGACAGCAGCTCCAGCAGCACCTCCTAGTGCTTGGACAAGGCGAGGCACGATAACCCTACTACTATAACAAAAGCATTATACCTAATTCTTTTGTATTTGAGAGCTGTTTTGTCTTGAGAGCTCCCGGGAGGCAATGGTTCTGCTAGTGGTCCAGCATTTTATACAGCGCCAAAAGATCCCAAGTCATTCCAAAACTGGGAATCACTCCACTTCCCACAAGAATGCAGCCGCATCAAGGGTAGGATGTGGCAGCTCTTTAACAGCAGAAAAGTTTGGAATGAGGAAAGAAGGTTCTCCAGCTGAAGCCGTACAGAGAATTTAAGGAACGGACCAGGTAGGAATTCCTCTTGGTTCAGTGAGTTATATTACTGATGCTCAACCATTAATCACTCATAGCCAGAGCTTTACATCTGACCACAAGGAGGATGGATTCTGCGCTACCTCCCAGCTCATGCCATCCTCCACCTGGGACAGCAGAGCCACCACCACGAGCAGGGCTGGGGATTTATGGACAATACGTTATTC